GCTGCGTCTGGGGGTGAGGGTGTCCCTTCGGTTTCTGGAGAGCCTGGGTCTGGAGCTGGTGTTGGTGCTGCCTCTGGGGGTGGTGTGCTTGGTGCTTCGGAGGTCGACTCTGGGGCTGCCGCTGCCCCGGACACTACTCCTTCCCCCCACCCCTACCCGACCAGGTTCCAGGCTCGTGTTCGCCGTGCTCGTGAGGAGCAGCTGGAGTTGGAGAGAGAGGAGAGAGAGTTGCAGCGGCTCGAGGAGCAGGAGCGACAGCAGCAGGAGCAGCAGCAGGAGCAGCAGCAGAGGCAGCAGCCGCTGGAGCAGCAGCAGCCACAGCAGCCGCAGCAGCAGCAGCAGCAGCTGCTGCCGTCTCCTCCTCCTGTCTCGGGTCTTCGGACCCTTGGTCTCCCGTCTCCCTCTCCTTCCTCCTCCCCCTCTCCTCCCGTCTCTGGTCCTCCGCTTCCTCCTCCTGACCCCTCTCCCGCTGTTTTCCCTCGTTCTCAGTCTTCGTTGTCTCCTCCTCCTTCTCAGACTTGGGCCTCTCGTCGCTCCCCTCGTGCTCGTCCCTCGTCTCCTGTTCCCTTCACTGACCTTCGTACAGCCTTCCTTTGTTCTCGTCCACCTCGTCCGTCTCCGTCTGTGCTTCCGTCTCCTCCTGAGTCGGCCCTCACTGTGTCGCTTCCTTCTCCTGTCACTGACTACTACCGCACGTACCATCCTGTTCTCTCTCGTGTTCTCGCCTCTCTTGTTACCCACCCTCGTGCCTCTGTGTCCTCTGTGTCCGCTCTTACTGCCGCAGTCACTGAGTTTGCCTCTACCCGCCGCCTTGACTTCGCCACCGCTCTTGTGGCAGCTCCTCCTTCCAGTCCTCTGGCCGTCGGGGGTGTGTCTGCCCTTGGCTGTGACGTCCTAGAGGACAGGCAGTTTGAGCTAGAGTTCCTGGCGGCCGCTTCCCCTCATCTCTGTGCCATGCTCCTCGCCCCTGAGGGTGACCCCGACGCCCTTGACATTCCGACTCCTCGCACTTACGCTGAGGCAGTGTCAGGGCCTTGGGCCTCTCAGTGGAGAGCTGCCATGGACGCAGAGATGGCCTCCTACAGATCCACAGGCACCTACGTCGATGAGGTTCCCCCTCCGGGGGCGAACGTAGTCGACGGCATGTGGATCTACAGGGTGAAGCGGCCACCGGGATCTCCTCCGGTCTTCAAGGCGCGCTACGTGGCTAGAGGTTTCAGTCAGCGCGAGGGAGTTGACTTCTTTCAGACCTTCGCGCCCACCCCGAAGATGACCACTCTTCGGGTGTTACTACACGTAGCAGCACAGAGAGACTACGAGTTACACTCTCTCGACTTCTCTACTGCTTTCCTTCAGGGCAGTCTTCACGAGGAGGTCTGGTTGCGTCGTCCCTCTGCCTTCACTGGCTCTTTCCCTCCTGGGACCCAGTGGAGGCTGAGGCGACCGGTTTACGGTCTTCGTCAGGCTCCTCGTGAGTGGCACGACACCCTGCGTTCTACCCTGTCTGACCTTGGGTTCCAGCCGTCTTCTGCTGACCCGTCGCTGTTCGTTCGTCGTGGCCCCACACCTTTCTTTGTTCTGGTCTACGTTGACGACCTTGTTTTCGCCACCCCTGACAGGGTTGCTTTGGCACACGTGAAGTCCGAACTGCAGAAGAGACACACCTGCACTGATCTTGGTGAGCTGCGCCACTACCTTGGCCTGCAGATCACCAGGGACAGAGCTGCTCGCACCATTACACTTTCACAGTCGCACATGGTGCAGCAGGTCCTTCAGCGGTTCGGGCTTCAGCACTCCACAGTACAGCGCACACCTCTTGCTGTTGACCACAGACTCACTGGACCCTTTCCTGACGAGCCGTTCGAGCCTAGTGGTCCCTACGCAGAGCTTGTGGGTTGCCTCATGTACCTGATGACTTGTACTCGCCCGGACCTCGCCTTCCCTCTCAGCGTTCTTGCGCGCTTTGTTGCGCCAGGGAGACACCGTCCTGTTCACTGGACAGCAGCTGTGAGGGTGGCGAAGTACCTAGCGACGACGTCAGGCGTGGGGCTAGTTCTTGGAGGGCAGCAGTCTGTCGTACTTACTGGTCACTGTGACTCCTCTTACGCTGACGACGCTGAGACTCACAGGTCTACTCAGGGGTACTGTTTCAGCCTGGGTTCTGGAGCTGTTTCCTGGCGGTCCACGCGCTCCTCTTCGGTCTCGACCTCTACAGCTGAGGCTGAGATCTACGCTGGTGCCATGGCGGCACAGGAGCTGCGTTGGTTGACCTTCTTGCTCACCGACCTTGGTGAGCGGCCGAGCTCTGCACCGACCTTGTTCACTGACAACAAGGCGTCTATTCTCCTTTGTCGAGAGCCACGACTGGAGAGCAGAGTGAAGCACATTCACGTCAGGTACTTTCTTCTGCGAGAGTTGCAGAGGCGTGGACAGGCTCGCTTTGAGTTTGTGGAGTCCGAGGCCAACACTGCAGACATCTTCACCAAGGCGCTTCCGCCTTGTGACCACCAGAGGTGCTGTGTGCAGTTAGGCCTTGTTGACACTGGTTCTCGTGTTGCTTAGACTTGAGTGTACTGTTTACTTTGCTTTCTATATACCTCTGTTACTTCTTGGACTGGCCTTGTGGCCACTGTTGTTTGTGCTCAGACTGTGTGGTGACGTTGTGATCCACCCTGAGCTTCGTTTCTTGGACTGGTCTTGTGACCGTACTCGTGTGGTTCTGCTAGACACCCCTCACTTAGGCTATGGGGGTGTGTCAAATGTTGTAGCCTATAGTGAGGTTTGTCTTAGGGGGTACAAAACTTAGGGTTAGCTATATGTACCCCAACCAACATCAATGCATCATCCATTCTTCATTCTGACACATTCCTCGTCATTGTCTGTCATCTCATCATCTCTTTCCCTAATTTTTCTCTTATGGCCGAAGGGTGTTTTTGAGAATTCTCAAAAACATTTTTTTCTTATGGCCATTCTGCGTCTGCTGCTCTCCTTCGCCTCTCCCAACCCCTCTCCAATCTCCTTCCCAACCATCATTAGCCTTCCAACCTCCCCACCCACATCCCAGGAGGCAAGTCCAGTCTGCTGCTGCGTCTGCTTCTCTCCTTCGCCTCTCCCAATCCTGCTCTCACAACCCCCAAGTCTTCCCAACCATCATCTCCCTCTCTTCCCCCACCCGCGCACCTACTTTTCAGAAGGGCAGTCCAGTCTGCAGCTGCGTCTGCTTCTCTCCTTCGTCTCTCCCAATCCCCTTCCTAAATTCCTCCCAACCATCATCCCCCTCACTCCCCCCACCCACATCCCAGGAGGCCAGTCCAGTCTGCTGCTGCGTCTGCTGCTCTCCTTTGTCTCTCGCCAGTCAGCCCAAGCAGCGGGCGTGCAACCGGGCCATGAGGTGAGCCAAGCACATGGGTCTGAGTATAGGACGGGCCTTGAGGTGACACTAACCATGAATTTGAGATGTCTGTAAGTGAGGCGTCTGCTGCTCTCCTTCGTTTCTCGCCAGTCAGCCCAAGCAGCGGGCGTGCAACCGGGCCATGAGGTGAGCCAAGCACATGGGTCTGAGTATAGGACGGGCCTTGAGGTGACACTAACCATGAATTTGAGATGTCTATAAGTGAGGCGTCTGTGTTAAACTGTATTATGTTGGTAGGCTGTAGTGGGGTAGCCAATATGGGGTACAACCTCAACTAGGGTTTGCTACTTGTACCCAATTCTTCCATTCAATGCACCATTCTTGCCTAGTTATTTTGACATGGTATTCAGAGCAGGAGGTCCCTAGGACCTACCGACCGTTTTTTTTTAAGGGCCCACCACCGCTCGCATGCGGTTACCACGCTACCCCGTGCCCTAGCCTCGTAGCGCCCTCGTGCGCCCTCGTTAGCGCCCTCGTGCGCCCTCGTTAGTGCCCTCGTGCGCCCTCGTTAGTGCCCTCGCGCGCCCTCGTTAGCGCCCTCGTGCGCCTCTCGTTAGCGCCCTCGCGCGCCCTCGCTAGCGCCCTCGCGCGCCCTTGTTAGCGCCCTCGTGCGCCTCTCGTTAGCGCCCTCGCGCGCCCCTCGCAGCGTCGCCCGCCCGCCGAGCCGCCCGCTCGCAGCGTCGCCCGCCCGCCCGCTGCCCGCTTCGCAGCGTCGCCCGCCCGCCGTGCTGCCCGCTCGCAGCGTCGCCCGCCCGCCTCGCTGCCCGCTTGCAGCGTCGCCCGCCCGCCCGCTGCCCGCTTCGCAGCCCGCCCGCCGCGCTGCCCGCTCGCAGCGTCGCCCGCCCGCCCGCTGCCCGCTTCGCAGCGTCGCCCGCCCGCCGTGCTGCCCGCTCGCAGCGTCGCCCGCCCGCCTCGCTGCCCGCTTGCAGCGTCGCCCGCCCGCCCGCTGCCCGCTTCGCAGCCCGCCCGCCGCGCTGCCCGCTCGCAGCGTCGCCCGCCCGCCCGCTGCCCGCTTCGCAGCCCGCCCGCCGCGCTGCCCGCTCGCCGCGTCGCCCGCCCGCCCCGCTGCCCGCTTCGCAGCCCGCCCGCCGCACTTCCCGCCTGCAGCGCCGCCTGCCCGCCGCGCTGCCCGCTTCGTAGCCCGCCCCCCGCACTGCCCGCTCGCCGAGTCGCCCGCCCGCCGCGCTTCCCGCCGAGCTACCTACCTGCAGCGCTGCGGCAGCTTCCTTTGCTCAGTCGCACTGTCACTATGGCTTCCATCCGCGTGCTGTCGTTCGATGCTGAGGGCCGCCCTGTGAAGTTCGCCACTTGGCTGGATGACCTGCAGCTGTTCCTTCTGAGCGATAGCAAGGAGCATGTGTCGCTCTATGATTACGCGTCTGGTGCTGCACCTGCCCCTCCTGCCACAGCTGAGCTTAGTGTTCGTTCCCACTGGCAGACTCGTGACGCAGCTGCTCGCCTAGCCATTCGCAGTCACCTCCCGCTAGCTGAACTCGAGCATTTTGGCGACTGCAAATCCGCTAAGGCCCTGTACGATGCTGTCGTTGCTCGCTACTCCTCGCCTGCCACAGCCGAGCTTAGCCGCCTCATGCTGCCGTACCTGTTCCCTGAGCTGTCCACCTTTGCTACAGTCGCCGATCTTATCACCCACCTTCGCACTAGTGATGCTCGCCTGCGTGCTGCCCTTCCCACCGAGTTCTGCGCTAAGAACCCCCCTCCACTGTACTGGACACTCCACTTCATAGTCACCCGACTCCCTGACACCCTCAGCTCAGTTCGAGACCACTTCCTTGCTCGCTGTCCCACTGAGCTCACAGTCGCCCTCCTAGAGGAGCAGCTGCTAGCGGCCGAAAAGAGCATTGTAGCTGTCGGTGCTGCTCGTGGCGCTCCTCGCACCCCCATCTTTGAGGGGTGTTCTCCCTCTCCCCTCGCTCCCTCCTACGCTACTGCTGCTGCTGTTGACTTCCTTGGTGCTGAGTCTGCTGGCGCTGCTTCTGCTCCTGGTGGGAGGCGCCGCACCGGCAAGGGCAAGGGGGGCAAGGGTGGCGGGGGTGGCGCTGGGGGGGGAGGAGGTGGGGGAGGTGGGGGGGGAGGCGGTGCTGGAGGGAGCGGTGGCGGGAGTGCTGGTGGGAGTGGGGTCGGCAGCGGAGGCGGGGGCGGCGGAGGGAGCGGTGGCGGTGGTGGCGGCGGCGGCGGTGGCGGCGGCGGCGGCGGTGGCGGCGGCGGCGGTGGCGGTCGGAGCGGAGGTAGTGGTGGTGGCGGAGGTCGGAGTGGAGGCACTGGCTCGGGCCAGAGCTCCCAGCAGCAGCAGCGTCCCCAGACGACCCAGCAGCTTCGTGAGTGGCTTGCTCAGCGTGGGACGTCGGGGGGCAATGGCCGCTGTTCCTATGTCATTCGCACAGACGTGTGGGAGGTTCCACACCCCGTACCGCTGCTTCTCCCGCCTTGACGACGCTTGGCGTGAGGAGATGGGCGAGGATGTTGAGCGCCCCCGCTGGGCTGAGCTCATGAGGGCTGGAGTTGATATCTTTGCTCTTGACTATGATGCTATTATTGCTGCCATGTATGCATTGACTGTTAGTGCCGAGGGAGACTGTTACTTGTGTGTGCCGCCTGACCCAGGTATAGAGCCCGCTGCCCTGGGTACTAGTGAGTCTGCTCTCTCCGGTATGGTGCCCCCTGTACTTGCTCCCTCCAGTGCTGTCCCGGCTGTTTGCGAGTCTGCTCTCTCAGGTACAGCACCCACAGAGACTGCTCTCTCAGGTACCGCACCGGCTGAGGCCTGTCACACCTTCACCCTTGACTCAGGTGCTTCCCGCTGTTTCTTTCGTGACAGTACTGAGCTCACACCGCTTCCTGCACCGGTCCCAGTCTCCTTGGCTGACCCCTCTGGGGGCCCAGTCCTTGCCCAGTCCACCACTGTGCTCCCTTGTCCGGCGGTTCCGTCTGGCTCGTTGTCGGGTTTCCACCTCCCCTCGTTCTCGACGAACCTGGTGAGCAACGCTGTCATCCAGGATCAATGGGTTGACACCTTTACCCCTGGAGGACAGCGTGTGGCGATCTGCACGTGCTCCAGGACCGGCCGTCACCTGGCTACGTTTACCCGTCGGCCGGGGTCGAGTCTCTACACACTGACCACTGCGTCTCCTCAGGTCGCTGCTGTCGGTCAGGTGTCCGCGTCAGGTCTGGTGGCCCACGCCTGTGAGTGTCGTTCCCTGTCACACCAGACTCTTCTCTGGCACCACCGCCTGGGTCACCCCTCCTTGCCACGCCTCCGTGGCATGCACCGTCGCCGCCTTGTGTCTGGTCTTCCCAGGTCTCTCCCTCCCCTCCCTGCCTCGCCTGCGCCGCCTTGCCTTCCTTGCGTCGAGGGGCGGCAGCGCGCCGCTCCTCACTCCTCCTCGTTCCCCCCGACAGAGGCTCCTCTGCAGACCCTCCACCTGGACGTGTGGGGCCCAGCCCGCGTTCGTGGCCAGGGCGGTGAGCGGTACTTTTTGCTGGTTGTCGACGACTACTCGCGTTACACCACGGTCTTCCCCTTGTGCACCAAGGGTGAGGTCCCTGCTGTTCTGATCCCTTGGATCCGCACAGTTCGTCTCCAGCTCCGCCGCCGTTTCCGGACGGATCTTCCTGTCCTGCGTCTGCACTCTGACAGAGGTGGTGAGTTTTCCTCCGATCTCTTGAGGACCTTCTGTCAGGCGGAGGGCATCGAGCAGACCTTCACGCTTCCGGACTCCCCACAGCAGAATGGGGTTGCTGAGCGCCGCATTGGCCTGGTCATGGAGGTCGCTCGTACCTCCTTGGTCCACGCGGCGGCTCCCCATTTTCTGTGGCCGTTTGCTGTCCGGTACGCCGCGCATCAGCTCAACCTATGGCCCCGTGTCTCCTTGCCGGAGACCTCTCCCACACTGCGTTGGACGGGGGAGGTTGGCGATGCGTCGCGCTTCCGGGTGTGGGGTGCTTGTGCCCTTGTCCGCGATACGTCCGCGGACAAGCTCTCCTCCCGCACACTTCCCTGTGTCTTCCTTGGCTTTGTCCCTGACGCGCCGGGCTGGCAGTTTTACCACCCCACCTCGCGCCGGGTCTTCGCCTCTCAGGACGTCACCTTTGACGAGTCGGTCCCTTTTTACCGTCTCTTCCCCTACCGCACTGCCCCCCTCCCTCCCCCGCCGCTTTTCCTTGCTCCTGGTCCCCCTCCGGTAGACCCCCTTCCCCCTCAGGGTCCTGCTCCTTCAGGTGTCTCTCAGGTAGACCCTCCTCCCGTCGCTGAGCCTGTCGAGGTCACAGGTGACTCAGGTGCTGCTGCAGGTGGTGCTGCTGGGAGTGCTGAGCCTGGGGGTGCTGAGCCTGCGGGTGCTGGGCCTGGGAGTGCTGGGACTGCGGGTGCTGGAGCTGAGGGTACTGTGCCTGGGAGTTCGGCGCCTGGGGGTGCTGAGCCTGGGGGTGCTACGACTGGGGGTGCTGAGCCTGCGTGTACGGAGTCTGGGGGTGCTGAGCCTGGGGGTACTGCGCCTGAGGGTACTGGGCCTGGGGGTGCTGCTGCTGAGCCTACGGAGCCTGGGGTTGCTGCGTCTGGGGGTGCTCTTCCTGACGGTACTGGAGCTGCTGGAGCTGACGACACTGGAGCTGACGGTTCTGGACACGGTGGTCCTGCTGGTTCTGGAGGTGCTGGCGAGGGGAGGTCTGACGCTGCTGGGGCCTCTGGTGCTGACGTCGCCGACTCGGGGGGTGCTGCGGCGGAGGGTGCTGGTCCAGGTGCTTCTGGTGCTCCGGGTGCTGGAGGTGCTGGCGGAGCTCCGCCGTCGCGCCTGTTCTTCGCTCCTCCGTCGCCGTCGGCTTTGCCGCCGCCTGACACGGTGCTTCGCCAGGTTCTTTCCCTCCCGTCTTCCACTGGCCTTCCCCTTCAGCCTGGCTCCCCCCTCCCTGCTCCTGTGCCTTACACTGCACAGCCGGACTCGCTTACGGAGCGTCGTGAGCCTGCGTCTCGTCCTGCCTCGCCTGTTCGCGCTGCTCGCGCTGCTCGCACTGCGCGCACTGGTCCCACTGGTCGTCGTGTCGCGCGTCCGCGTCCTCCTCCTGTTCCTGGCACGCATATTATGGCCCTTCGTCCTTCCACTGGTCCACAGCGTGTCCCCCTACCGTCTCCTCCTGCGTCTTCTCTTCCTGACGTTCCCGACCCTGAGTCTGACAGTGTTCGTGCTGCCCACCCTACTGTTACGCGTCTTCTCGCCACTGTTGTCACTGACCCCTCGTTTGAGTCTGCTGCTGCGTCTGCCCTGGTCGCTGAGCTTGTCGACTTTGCTGCTGCCTGTCGTCTAGACTACGCCGCCAGTCTTGTTGCCGGGTCTGAGTCTGTCTGTCCTCCGTCCGTCGGGGGTGAGTGTGCTCTTGGCACGGACGTCCTTGAGGACAGGCAGGAGGACTTTGACTCTCTTGCGGCTGCTGTACCTCATCTCGTGGCCTGGTTGCTTGCCCCTGAGGGAGACCCGGATGCACTAGACATCCCCACTCCGCGCTCTTACGCAGAGGCGATCTCGGGTCCCTACTCCTCTCAGTGGCAGACAGCCATGGACGCAGAGATGGCATCCTGGAAGTCCACAGGCACCTACGTCGACGAGGTTCCCCCTCCTGGGGCGAACATCGTCGATGGCATGTGGATTTTCAGGGTGAAGCGGCCGCCAGGTTCTCCACCTGTCTTCAAGGCTCGTTACGTTGCTAGAGGCTTCAGTCAGCGTCAGGGGGTTGACTTCTTCCAGACCTTCTCCCCCACCCCGAAGATGACCACTCTTCGGGTTCTGCTACACGTTGCTGCTCAGCGTGACTACGAGCTTCACTCTCTTGACTTCAGCACAGCGTTCCTGCAGGGCAGCCTGCACGAGGAGATCTGGCTGCGCCGCCCACCTGGCTTCACTGGGTCGTTTCCTCCTGGTACCCAGTGGAGCCTCCGCCGGCCAGTCTACGGTCTCCGCCAGGCGCCACGTGAGTGGCACGACACACTGAGGACTACACTTGCAGCTCTTGGGTTCGCGCCGTCTACTGCTGACCCGTCGCTGTTTCTACGCACAGACACGTCGCTACCGCCGTTCTACATTCTCGTGTACGTCGACGACTTGGTCTTTGCTACTGCTGACACTGAGGCACTCGCTCGTGTGAAGTCGGAGCTGCAGAAGAGACACACCTGCACTGACCTGGGTGAACTGCGTAGCTACCTTGGCTTGCAGATCACCCGGGACAGAGCTCGCCGCACCATCACCCTGACTCAGTCACACATGGTGCAGCAGGTCCTTCAGCGCTTCGGCTTCCAGTTCTCCTCACCACAGGCCACACCTCTGGCTACCAGCCACTCGCTCTCAGCTCCACCTTCGGACGAGTCCGTAGAGCCGAGTGGCCCGTACCCAGAGCTTGTAGGCTGCCTCATGTACCTGATGACTTGCACGCGACCTGACCTCGCGTACCCACTTAGCATCCTTGCTCGTTACGTTGCGCCTGGGAGACACAGGCGAGAGCACTGGGAGGCTGCTAAGAGGGTGCTGCGTTACTTGTGCAGTACATCAGGCATGGGGCTGGTGCTTGGAGGACACGACAGAGTTGTCCTCACTGGTCACTCGGACGCTTCTTGGGTGGACGACCTGGCTACGCAGCGGTCGTCACAGGGTTACACCTTCAGCCTTGGCTCTGGTTCTGTCTCGTGGCGGTCCACCCGCTCTTCCTCTGTTCTCGGCTCTAGTTGTGAGGCTGAGATCTACGCCACAGCCATGGCTGCACAGGAGTTACGCTGGCTCACCTACCTGCTGACTGACTTGGGAGAGCGGCCTAGTTCTCCTCCAGTTCTGTACGGTGACAACAAGGCAGCCCTTGCCTTGTGTCAGGAGCACAGACTGGAGCACAGGACGAAGCACATTGCTCTTCGCTACTTTCTTGCTCGAGAGCTTCAGCAGCGCGGTCAGCTTCGGCTTGTGTACGTGGACTCGAAGGCCAATACTGCTGATATCTTCACCAAGGCGCTCCCGCCTAGTGATCATCAGCGGCACTGTACTTCTTTAGGCCTTGTGTCCACGTTTCCTCATTTGCTTACTGCTTGACTTTCTTTGTACTGTACTTTATATATATCTTGCTGCTTGTCCTGTTCTATATCTAGCACTGCATGTGAACTGGCCTTGTGGCCTTTGCTTGTGCTCGGAGTGTGGTGACGTTGTGATCCACCCTGGGCTTTGCTTTGCTTTGCTGGACTGGTCTTGTGACCCTTTGTTCTCCCCCACTTTGCCTATGGGGGTGTGTTAAACTGTATTATGTTGGTAGGCTGTAGTGGGGTAGCCAATATGGGGTACAACCCCAACTAGGGTTTGCTACTTGTACCCAATTCTTCCATTCAATGCACCATTCTTGCCTAGTTATTTTGACAGTCTGCTGCGCTCCTTCGTTTCTCGCCAGTCAGCCCAAGCAGCGGGCGTGCAACCGGGCCATGAGGTGAGCCAAGCACATGGGTCTGAGCATAGGACGGGCCTTGAGGTGACACTAACCATGAATTTGAGATGTCTGTAAGTGAGGCGTCTGCTGCTCTCCTTCGTTTCTCGCCGGTCAGCCCAAGCAGCGGGCGTGCAACCGGGCCATGAGGTGACAATAAAAGGGGGGGTCATGAGGAGGGGGCGTGAGGTGGTCTAAGCAGGGGGGCAAAAGTAAGGATGCAAATGCAATTGGGTTATGTCAGGAGGACAGGTTCCTGTTTGCCATTTTTTTCTCCACTCGAACAATCAGCCCTCCCATTCTTATCTTCCCTTCCCTTTACCCTCTCCCACCTAGTTCCGTGCAGCAAGGGAGGCTGCTGATGCGATTGGGGCACAGATGGTGCTGGGAGATCGACCCATTGAGATCACTGTGAGTGGACCTTCTACTCATTCTGGTCATCACAGAAAGTCCATCCCTTTTGTCTGCGTCATGATTTGCTCGTAACAGTTTGGTTAGAGGAGGGGGTCGCAGTCGAGGAAACTGTTACATGTATATACATTTATGTGTGTGTACGTAAATATATGTATGTCAGATTGCTTGAGAATGACGTGAGAAGCATGACCATTAGTTGGTCAACATGCTCGCCTCTCGTCTCCCCTCCCACCAGCTTCGCCGTGCATGGAAGGCCCTCTCTCTTCTCGATCGCGTTCGCCTCGCCTCTGCTCTCCTGCAAGGCGGGCTGACAGGAGGGGGTGCTCTGGAGCAAGGCAGACTGCGAGGGGAGTTGTTGAAACGGCATGATTCTAAGGGAGGGGAGGAGAAGGGGGGGGTGGAGGAGAAGGTAGGAGTGGAAGAGAATGGAGGGAAGGAGGAGGAAGAGGAAGACGTGGAGTTTCTGTCGGCTGTTTTTCAGGAAGTTGCGCGGCAGTTTCCCGCGCTTATCGGGCCGCTGGTGCATGAGAGGGATGCGGTGAGTTGGCACCTTGGGATTGCCGTCCAGGAGTGCTGTTAGAATTTGCATCTCGTTCGAAGTCATGAGAATTTGCATTTGGCAGACACAAACTCGGATGTTTCCGCACAGCCTTGTCGCGCTGCTGTTTCCCTCTCAGCCATGCCCTCGTTTCCGTTATTCAGTCTCAGAATCCGATTCCACCTGCCCTTGACCCACTGTTTCTCAGTTGAACGCTGCACCGATCCCGCCCCCCGCTCCTCCCCCGCCCATTCCCCCCCCCCACTCCCTCGAACCCCTCCCTCCTCCGTGTCATCGTGTCCCCTCTACAGTACCTAGCATGGGCCTTAATACGGAGCAAGGCTGTGAGAGGATGTGACAGGGTGGTCGGGGTGGTGGGGCGAGGGCACTTGCCCGGCGTGGTACACTATTTGTTGCAAGGTAACGAGCAAAGAACGTTGCGATTTAAGCAGCTTGTAGGAGCCAGTGCGTCAGATGAAAAGGAGTCGGGTAAAGGGGGAATGGCTGCGCGTGTGGCTAAAAGGGTGGGATTGGAGTTGGCAGTTGGGCTTGGGTTTTGGTGGGTGTTTTCGTTGGTTTCATAATTTAGCTTATGATGCAGAGATGTAGATAGAGGCAATATGGGCTCATATATCTGTAACATTTGCACGCCATCCAATATCGGCTCATTCATATCGACTCATCCATCAGCAGTCATCACCAATCTGTTCGGAATCCCGCCGATCTCGCCTTTTGATCCAAGCCGTTCCCGACGACTCTACGTTCGGTTCGGATCATCTCGTTTTCTCCGCCCCACCGTTTTCGCGCCAAAAAGATTCCGAAAAATGGCACCCCGCCCGCGCAAAAACTGACACCACCGCTGTCCCCCCCACTACCGACAGACCACTGACACAGTCGCGATCCCGACCCGACCGACCCTGTGCGAGATTAGTGTCAGAAAGCTAGTACCCATGGCGGTTCGGCTTTCATTGACTGCTCATACTACTGCTTTAGTCTCCTCATCAGAATCCGCCATCTCCTCGCGCGTTACCGGGAATCGCGTACCTTTCCACCTCTTCTCACCAATCCCCTCGTGCCACGTGTCTCGGTCGCCAACACGGTCGTCCCGTACGACTCGCTTAGTCGTTTCGGCGAAGGCCCGTCGCAAAGAATGCGCGAGCGAGGAGGCATATATTGAGAACCGTCAAAACGCAAGTGATTGCCAGGTGGCAGGAAATGAGTGGACGCGGCGGGAGATGATGGCTGCTTCTAGCAGCGGGCTAGCGGCCGTAGCCCTCGCTATTGTCACATCGGGCGCCACGACTGCTCCAACTGCCAACGCAGGTATTGTCACATTGGAGCTAGCAGTAGTAGTATTGTCACATTAGCATGATCGCATATAGGAACAAACATCGCACAATGAATGGCTGCGGACCTCGGTACTGTCACACTTGAGCTGGTAGTGGTAGTGTAGCAATATCACAAATAGGAACCAGCATAGCACAACAGCGGCTGCAGCCCCCGGTACTATCACTCACACACACACACACGCGCGCGCGCACGAAGCGAGCGTAAGATCGTTCTTGGTACTCGTCACAAGTGTTTGGGGATTTGGGGGGATGGCGAGAGAGCAAAAAGGATGTTGGGGGATAGAAAAATAGATAGTCCCTTTCTTTAGGCACCAACACCGGCAGCACTGGCAGTTGTGGGGATAAAAGAATACATAGTTCCCCTTATTCAGGCACTTGTTTTCGTTTTTCTCCCTCCTCTCTTCTTTACACCCCATTCTCCCTCCCAGCCACAGCAGCGCCGCCAGCACCAGCAACTGCTGGTGCTGCAATTGACACTGCTTCCTGGAAGCTTCTTGAGAGCGCGTTTGGCTTCTCCTTTCTCTACCCGTCCTCCTATATAGTCACGATTGTAAGTGCCTAAATGCACAACACTAGCTAGTTTCTCCTTTCTGTACCTGAATGCAGAGCAGTACCAAATTTCTTGTTAACGCCACCATTGCACTTCAGTATTGTAACGTCACGAGTGTTAGTGCCACAATTATAAGCACAGGAGCTTATGTTTACATGATAGTGTGAACACCTAAACGGCATCATAAGACCCATCGACTCAAGGTCACCTCTATTACAAGTGGCAGGAGATTAGTCGCATACCTTTCTTCCTCCTCCATTCTCCTTCATCCCTCCCTCCCCCCCCCCCATATGCAGTGCTGCCACCTCAACCAGAACCGCAAGAACGAACCGTCAGATGTCCCGCTTACAGCAGACGGTGCACAGGCCTTCCCTTTCCACCCCTTCCTCCCCACCCCGTCTTCCTCTCCCTCTTGTTTGCCCCTCTCATGCACCCCTCATGCGCTGCTCTCACCAACCAGAACCGCAAGAATGACCCGGCAGATGCCCCGCTTACAGCAGACGGCGCTCAGGCTCTCGCTGTTGTGGGGAATTTTGTCACCTTCGACACGGTATGTGTGTACCTACGCGCACGTTATCGCTCCTTCGATGTCGGTGTCGTGCATATCAGCACACGGACGGCCCTCAAGCCCTTGCTGTTGTTGGCAACTTGGTCACTTTGGACATTGTGCGGTGCAATTCTTGGTTTCTCCGTTGCGTGTGTGTGTGTGCGCGTGTGAATCAGAAGTAATTGACCACTCGCTCCTCACTCATTCCCTCTCTTGCTCCCTTTATCGATCCCTCACTCGCTCCCTCTCTCGCTCCCTCAATCACTTCCTCACTCGCTCCTTCGCGCACTCACTCACTCCTCACTCATTCCCTCCCTCTCGGTTTCTATTCTCTCATTAACCGTCACTCTCTGTCCTCTCTCTATTCTTCTTCCCTTCTCTAAAAGAAAAAAAAAATCATGGTGGACTCCATTTGACTTTTGAGTCGACTCAAAAAAAAATCATGGACTCCATTTCTGCTCCTCTATTCCTCTCTGTTCACCTTTCCTCCCTCCCCACCACATCAGATGAGTGTCGTTCGCTACGCCTTCACTCCAAACCCTGACAAGCTTGCTCCGCTAATCCAACGTATCCTGCCCAACGGGGTGAGTCATCATACTTGATGAGATGATTTATGTAAAATTGAAGTTTTCTCAGAAGCCGCCCACCTCTTGACAAGCTTGCTCCGCTAATCCAACGTATCCTGTCCTGCCCAATGGGGTGAGCCTTGACATTTCCTCGATGCCTTATTCTCCTTTCCTTCCTTTTTCTTCTCCTCTGGTGCATTGAATTACACCTTTTCCAGCATCACAATCCCATTTTGTGTGCTTACTATATCTCTTCTCCCTGCTCCCATTCTTTCTCTTTTCTTCCCTTATTTCACTCTGTCTTTCTCCACTTTCTCTCTGTCTTCCCCCTCATGGCCATCCAGAACCTCAGCACCTCATTGGTGGAGGACACGGTGTTCCCCAACCAGCCAATCATAGAGCTTCCTCTGGATCTCCAAAAGATTCTCTCTGCCCTGGCATCCCCTGCCGGACTCAGCTTCGAGTGAGTACGAAGTTTCTCAGTTCTGTGTAAGTAGCGATCCAATCTGCTCTTGATTCTTGTTCCACACATCCTTTTTTAATCAGTGCAGCAAGAAACGATCCTCCTGGCAAACCCCCCTTCTCCCTTCTGAGAATTCTCACAAGTGCGTATTTGACTAAGAGATGTCAGACCTTCCTCTTTGGTGATACCCTCTACCTTCCGCCCCTCTGTACAGTGTGATAACGGAGACGTGTCGAGGCAGGATAGAGGAGGGGAAGGGGGGCGTGGGTGAGTGTGTGTCAGTGCGAGGGGCCGACCTCGTTCAACCAATCGTGCGCCGCCACATAGGCCGGATACTCCTGTCAGAAGGTATGATGATCGTTCGTTTTTCACTCATTAGTTTCCCATCGGTTGTAGTTTCACTCATTACAACCCCATATATGTTGTGCCCATCGGTTGTATGTTCGCCACATAGGCCTGATACTCCTGTCAGAAGGTATGTGCAAGACAAGCTATTAGACTCATAGGTGTCTCACATCTGTGCAAGGAGACCACTTGTCGACAGTGTTAACATGATAGCATCCTCAACACCCGTCATCACGGCATTGACATGATTTTTGAGGCGCCTCAAAAATTTTGAGGTGATTTTTTAGGTGCCTCGGAGAAACTGAGGTGATTTTTTCGGCGTCTAAAAATCATCTCATTTGTGCGAGGAGACCACTTGTGGACGACGGTAGCACGCTAGCATCCTCAAAACATGTCATCACATCACAGCATTGTGCGCATGATGGTAGCATGGTGAGTCAGCACAGGTAGCCTCGACCTTCCTCCGCTCTTTCTCCCGTCCCCACCCCCACATCTTCCTCTCTCCTCCCCTCGAGGCTTCTCCTATGTCATCACAGCATTGTGCACCGAGGCACAGTGGCCAATTTCCATGTGACGGTGTGAGTGCGCTTGGGTCCGAGTAACGCTTACACTCCCCACCTCGCCCTCCGTTCTCCCACTCCAGGCTACCTTTATGTCATCACTGCATCGTGCACCGAGGCACGGTGGCCAATAATGAGCGCCCAGCTGCAATACATTCAGCTCTCCCACACCCCCAATCCCCCACATCTCCACTTCTTCCCCTCGCTCCTCCCACGCAGGCTACCTCTAGGTGATCACAGCTTCGTGCACCGAGGCACGGTGGCCAATAATGAGTGCCCAGCTGCAATACATTCCGCTCTTCCTCCTTCACCCACCACCCCCTCCTACACATTTTCCCCTCTCCCCCCCTCCAGGTTACCTCTATGTTATCACCGCATCATGCACCGAGGTGCGATGGCCAATAATGAGCGCGCAGCTGCAATACATTCAACCATTCCCCCCCTTTCCCTTCCCCTTCCACCCCCATGTCCTCCCTCTCTGCCCCACGTATCCAGGCTTCCTCTCTCCCCCATCGTGCACCGAGGCACGGCGCCCAATATGAGCACACAACTGCAATACGCTCAGCTCTTTCTCCTTCACCCCGCCACCCCCTCCTGCACATTTTCCCCTCTCTTCTCCTGTAGGTTACGTCATCACCGCATCATGCACTGAGGCATGGTGGCCAATAATGAGCTCACAGCTGCTAACAACCCTCCCTCCCCTTCCCAAACTCCTGCCCGCCTCCCACTCCTTCCCCTCCATTCCCCCCTCCAGGTTACCTCTACGTTATCACTGCATCGTGCACCGAGGCACGGTGGCCAATAATGAGCATGCAGCTGCAATCCATCCCAACCCAACTCTTCCTCCCCCCCCATGACCCCTCCCTGCACATTTTCCTCTCCCTTCTCCTGCAGGTTACCTCTATGTTATCACTGCATCATGCACCGAGGCACGGTGGCCAATAATGAGCGCACAGCTGCTAGCAACTCTCCAGTCATTTGCCTTCCTCTGAACAATATAAATACCGCGATAGCATTTTTTTTTTATTGGTTAGGTAGGAGGGGTTCAAGCAGTGGTAAGGTAAGGCTCACTGCTTGGCAAAGGCGTGCAGCAGCAACAGCTCACATGGATGGATGGATGGATGGATGGATGAAGAAACATGGCTGGTGGGCTGAAACACAGTTACCGGTATCAAGTTCAAGAAACGTGGTTGGTGGGCTGAAACATAGTTATCAAGTTCAAGAAACATGGCAAGAGGGGTGTGGCATAGTTACCTAGTTCAAGAAACACGGCTGGTGGACTGTAATATGGTTACCATGTTCAAGAAACATGGCTGGTGGACTGTGAGAATTGGTACTGGGAAGATTCGTAAGAAACAACCCACTGCTAAATCTTGTCTGGCAGGTTCGAAGAAAATTTACATTTTTTTAGTTCCAGGACCAGGAGAACAAGACAGCATTGCTCCAGTGCATTCAAAACTTTATGCATGACTTATATCATGCATGTACAATGAACACTAATGAGACTTCATTCAAGGCCATTCAGGTGGCCTTGCATCAACAAGCTTCACAAACGGCGGGTGGACAAACGCGCCACTAGCTTGTTCAAAAGAATCGACGAATAGGGTTACAAGCTGGACAGCCCCGCGAGGGATCGCAGTTGTTCGTAGACGATGAAGGTGATGGCGGTCATCGGGCCCAGGCGCGCGTAATTCGCGGCGCAGCCTTTGTAAAGTCCGCGAATACCCTCTGTGCGGAGAATCTGCGGGTGACGCGGGAACGAGGGGGGAATAGAGGAAGGTATGGAGAGAGGGGTGGGTGAGTGATGGCGGAATCAACAGTTATGGGTAAGTGGTGTAAGTGTGATTAGATAACATATCTGACGTGTCATCTACTCATGGAGTAAGAGCGATTTTGTGAACACACTCACCGAGTAAGCGCAGTGCATGGATCCCCGGTAAACGATAGCTCCCCCGGCTGCTGGCGGAGCTGCGCCGGCCACGGGCGCAGCAGCGGGCGCAGGGCCCAGCGGGGGCAGTCCGCGCGCAGCGGGCAGCGGCGGCGGGCGCGCGGAAGGCGCGGGGGAGGCGGAAGCGGTGGAGTATGCGAGCGCAGGTTGGAGTTGGGCGGAAGAATTGTGCGGAGCTGGGTTTTGGAGGTTTACGGGGGAAAACGCGGACGAGGCTCCGCTTATCGTGGCATTTGACTGCGGGGGAATCGACGGGGAGGCGGATGGCGGGGGGAGCGGGGCTCTGGGGGCCGCGGAGGCGGCGGAAGCCGCGGAAGAAGCGGAAGCGGCGGCGGAGGATTTCTTAGCTGCCATCATGCGCGTCTTGACTGTATCGAAGGGTGACGACGCGAGAGTCGAAACGGCACCCGCAAGCATAGACGCGCTAAGGTGAAGCGGCAGACCGTCCGAGACGTTAGCGCGCGCTTTGAGCATCTGCTTGCACTCGTCGTACACCGCGCATTGCGCCGCGGTCAGCGCCGCCGCGCGCCCCATAGACGGCCCCACGCCCTTCCACAGCGCGCCGACTCCCTCCGTCCGCGCGATTTCCAGAATCTGCCCCGTCGTCGACCGGCTGCTGCGCACATCCGCGCTTTTCACGGCGGCACTCGCGGCGCTGCCGGCGGCGGCCGTCTCCGAAATCATCTGTAACCGGACTTTCGCGACATCCAGAGGATTCGACACGGCTGTAGCGAACGAGCCAGACATAATCCCCGCGAGGGCTTTATGTCCCATATGCACCTGCGACTTGTCTTTCGGAGCAATCATGTTGCGACACGGCTCGTACAGGCCGAGGCGCAGGCAGCCGTAGGACAAGGCGCGCACGACGGCGGGCTCGACGCCGCGGTATAAGGCGCGCACGCCGCCTTCTTGAAGGAGCTTGCGCGTGGTGGCTACCATTGTGGAGGAAGGGCCTCGTTGGCCCACTGCTTGCATCTGCTGCTGAACTTTAACGACGTCTGATGGGGGTAGGGAGAAAGAGGAGGGGGGCATGGTCATGGGAATGAAATTTGAGCAGGAAAGATAACGGAATGATCAAAACGGGGAATCGTATAAGTTTTACTGTTCCCAGTTTAAGAATTAACTCTCTTGTTGGTTGTTTACTCTCTTTCTTCTTTCTCTTTTCGCATAATTGTGGGACGCTTGTGGCGACAATATGGTAGACTACCTAAGCAGCACGTACCGACGGGGTGTGTGGTGGCTGTAGAAATTGCAACGGCCGTGCCGCTGGTGGCGAAGGTTCCGAGCATCTCCTTGGTTTTCTTCCACGCTGGCGACGACTCTTGCGACGGCGACGATTTTGACGAGGCGACGGCCATGGCGACGAATTGGAGACAAATTCCGATGAAGGGATATTCGAAGAGCCGATGCGCGAGAGTTGACAAACTGAGGGCGTGGGATGCGGGGATGACCTGGAGCGAGGATGTCTGTTAGTTGGAGGAGGGTGACGTTCAAGTACCGAATTATGGAGGCGCGAAACGATGATGTAGAGAAAACAACCTGTTAAATACTAACGCCTTGAGCGGAGACGAACGGGGACGGAATTTGCAGCAAGGGCATTCTACGGTGCAGCTTGAGATGCACGCACGTATGCCCTGCCCGAGTCTACCTCCAGGCGAGCAGTTACGCACTGGAGTCGTACCGTAGGCTTCAACCTAATGGACACGATGAGGATAACGATGGTGCTGCACTCTGCAAAACGCGCCACGGGACACCCGCAGAACGACGGGCTTTGTTGATAGACACAACCCTCCCTTGCCTCAAAGTCAAGGCAGAACAGGAGTGTGTCTCCAGCAACAGTCTACGGGCGATACGTTGAACCTTGCTAGTTCAAGAAGAAACGAGAGTGGACTTCCTTTCGACGGCGTGACCCTAAAATACCCCAGCTGTCTAGAATCAACGTTTCTGTAAGGGGAAACTGATCCTGTAAGGAAGGAGATGCTCCTTTTGTGGCGAAGCGGTTGCCTCTCATAGGCAATCCCCAGGGTGTTTGATGCTCCTTGTACAAGGACCCCAGGAGATGCTTGTACAAGGACCAGACCGAAATATCTTGTACCGCACTACTCGTAGTGGCTAATTTCTGTAACCGTACCCGAACAGTTAATACCGTACTGTCGGTTATTTTCCGGATTCTTGACGGGAGAGGGAGGATGGTGTGGATGACTTTCGGGGGCGGGGGAGATGAATCAGAGCGTCATCCCGAAAGGGCTCATCCACCGTGCGCTCTGCGCTCCGCGCCCTGCGGTTTCGGAAGGACAGTGCGTGGATTGGACAAGGATGGTCCTCCTGGTTACCAGCTTCCATGGACATTGTTGGAGGACGAGAAGTTCGCGAAAGAGTTCGCGATTGACGAAGGGTCGCTGACCTTGCAGGGAGTTCATTTCTTTCGGAGTACCACCTGGACCCCACGATAAAGAGCGATCCTCACCTCACCTTGCTGGCAGCCGTCCACCTATTCGGAGCTTCTGGGGCTGTCGGCCAGCGAATCAGGCAGGAGATCAGGGTGACTCATCGCCGATGGACACGTGGGAATTGAGTTGCAGAATTGTGAGTCAGCAAAGCTTTTGAACGGCGACGAATTGCCTTCAGGCCGAACCGTCAGCCACACGAGCAATGGATGAAAGCGATGCGCAACACGTGCACCAAGGACATCCTTTGCGGTTCGTCCCAATGACCTGAATCTCTTCCAATAAAACCGTGTACACTCAAAAGGCTGAGTAACAAAACGATCTTATAATGTGAAGCCGCGCAAACTCCCGTGTTATAAGAAATTCACAAATGATGGAAGCGCGTTGCGCATCTGGGCCAGACAGGTCAGTGCACGCTCCAATACCCTTTCCGCCGACAGAAGCTTTGTTCCTTGCAGCTGGAAACACACGCATTCCACAACAAAAACAAAACAACAATTGAGTACAGGTTGAAGTTGGTTTAGGGAATCATATTGTATAAAGCACGCAAGTGGAAAGTTAAGAGTACTTCCCAGTCTCACCTCTATTCTTCCCGATCGAAAGGAGAGGCTTTCACGCATAGCCTTCTGCTGCACAGCGTCCCTTAGGATCTCAAAGGCCGGAAGCTTCATGGCAGTTTCCATGACAATGGTTGTGCCCTGCTCCCTCTGAAGAATGCGGTAGATGCCTAAATCTGCTGCCATGCGCCGCACAAACAGATGCTTGAAGAGCAACTGAGGTGTGTGGGGGAGGAAGGGCGAAGGAGACAGGAACTGGGAGTTGGAATGCGGTAGATGCGTAGATTTGCTGCCATGCGCCGCACAAACAGAAGCTTGAAGAGCAGCTGGAGGAGCGAGATGGAGAGGTGAGGAGCACAGAGTAAACTAAGGAGCGTGCAGGAAGAAGGGTCAATGATGGTAAATGCTCAGATATGCTGCCATGCGCCGCACAAACAGATGCGAGAGGCCGAACGGTACACTGAAATGAAGGGCAGCGCTCCCTACTTGAGCTCTCCTCTCAATTCACCTCCACAGCAGCAGGCTCATCCCCATACTCGGCACGCATCTCTTTACAGAACGCCAGCAGCGCCGCCATGCCCTCTGCTGCTCGCTCCACTCACTGCCAGCACAACCAACCGCACTCTATCCCCCCTTACACTCCACTCACCTCCACAGCAGCAGGCTCATTTTCGTACTCGGCGCGCATAACTTTACAAAACGCCAGCAGCGCCGGCATGCCCTTAGCTACTCCCTCACTGCCTACATTCAACTCACCTCCACTTGTGGAGGCCCATCCCCATACTCGGCGCGCATCTCTTTACAGAACGCCAGTAGAGCTGGCATGCCCTCTGCTGCCGCCTCCTCTCTGCCAGCACACGTCCCTCTTCCCTTCCCTTAGCCTCCACTCACCTCCACTGCAGCAGGCTCGTCCCCATACTCGGCGCGCATCTCTTTACAGAACGCCAGCAGCGCCGCCATGCCCTCTGCTGCTGCCTCCTCTGCTTCCCTGGGCAGCCTGGCCCTCACAGCGGCATCCGGCACGTAGGATGCTGGGATGGGGGGCAGAGGGTCGAGAGGCAGGTCCAGCTGTGGGGGGGAGGGACAGGGAAGGGGAGAACAGGTTACATGGTAGAGCACGGGTTGGTGTGAGATAGACCTTCCTTCCTCCTGCTGCTGCCGCCTCCTCTGCTTCCCTGGGCAGCCTGGCCCTCACAGCGGCATCGGAAACGTAAGATGCTGGGATGGGGGGCAGAGGGTCGAGAGGCAGGTCCACCTGTGGGGGAGAAAGGGGAAATGCGCAGGAAAAGAAGAGGCACATAAAACGAATGCCTGCTGCCGCCTCCTCTGCTTCCCTGGGCAGCCTGGCCCTCACAGCGGCATCGGACACGTAGGTCGCGGGGATGGGGGGCAGAGGGGCGAGAGGCAGGTCCAGCTGGTGCAATGGGGGATACGGGGAAGGGCAAACGGAAGAAGGCGAGAGGGGAACGAAGTGAAATAGAGCTTTTCTCTTGTTGCTGCTGCCTCCTCTGCTTCCCTGGGCAGGCTGGCCCTCACAGCGGCATCGGACACGTAGGTCGCGGGGATGGGGGGCAGAGGGGCCAGAGGCAGGTCGAGCTGTGTGGGGGGAGGCGGGGGAGAGGGGAGGGGGGAGCAGGAAGATTGTCGGGACAAGTAGGTCGCAGGGATGGGGGGCAGAGGGTCGAGAGGTAGGTCCAGCTGTGTGGGGAGCGACAGGGGAAGGAGCAGGGTGCAGGGAAAGAAGAGACACGGGAGGAAGGGGGCTGGATTGGGACCAAGGATAGCTGCTGCCAACTCCTCTGGTTTTTTGGACCAGCTATCGGCTTTGCTTGAACCTCTTCTTTGAACTAAGAACGTTGGGTACCTTACTATACCACTACTAACACTTCCCCAACTTCTTAGACGCCGTAAAAAAAAAAAAAAAAAAAAAAAAAAAAGGTGCGTTGCTTACTAGTACTTCATAAATTCTAGGCTTCCATACTCACCCATACTTCCTTGAACTGCACTCGTGGCATGCTCTTCTGTTCCACCTGAAAAGACCAACAGCAAGAACACGCTGTACCAAGAACATGCAATGCTCATGAGCCAAAAATGCTGAGCTTGCGTACTCACCCGCACTTCCTTGAATTGCACTCGAGGCAGGCTCTTCTGTTCCACCTGAAAAGTCCAACACAAACGGAGGGCAGGAAGCAGCAACTCGGAGCATCACTATGAAGCATAGTGATTCATGGATGAGGAAAGGCATTGAGGTGAGTGTGCAGGCTCCCAACGCAAAAACCAGTGCAGCCTTCACTGTCTACTGTCGTCTGTCCATTGTCTTATGTCTACCCTGTACATTGTACAATAGTGCATAGTATCCCACTCACCCGTGTCAGAAGCATCTCCATGGACAGATAGTACCCCACACCCACCACGTCCCCGCTCTTCCGCTCACCAAACACGTCCCCAATGCCCCGGATGTCCATGTCCCTCTGCGCCAGCACGCTGAGCGTGCAAGCTCCCTCCCAGTGTGCTCTGAGTGCATTCCACTCACCCTCGTAAGAGTTTCATGGAGCATTTCCATGAACAGATAGTAACCAACACCGCCCACGTCCCCGCTCTGCCGCTCCCCAAACACGTCTCCAATGCCCCGGATGTCCATGTCCCTCTGCGCCAGCAGGTACCCCTCGCCTAATCCGCTGTGCTGCTGCAGGGCTCTCAGACGCTCCTGTTGAGAGGGGGAGAGGCAGGGAACAGGGGGATTTGAGCAGAGGTGTATATGTGTGTATAGAGTGGGCTGGAAGCAGCACCTGTCGCTCCCCAAACACGTCCCCAATGCCCCGGATGTCCATGTCCCTCTGCGCCAGCAGGTACCCCTCGCCCAGCCCGCTGTGCTGCTGCAGCGCCCGCAGCCGTTCCTGTTGAGAGGGGGAGAGAAGGGGAGTGGGAGGTGGCGGGCAGGAGGCAGGGAACAGGGGGATTTGAGCAGAGGTGTATATGTGTGTATAGAGTGGGCTGGAAGCAGCACCTGCCGCTCCCCAAACACGTCCCCAATGCCAGAATGTCCATGTCCCTTTGCGCCAGCAGGTATCCCTCCCCCAGCCCGCTGTGCTGCTGTAGGGCTCTCAGCCGCTCCTGAGAGTTTTGGGGTATGGGGCATGCATGGGAGGATGGTGTATGGGGCATGGAGAAGGGTGTGTTGTGAATGGACTCCCTGGATCAGCATCCCCCCATGTCCCTCTGCGCCAGCAGGTACCCCTCGCCCAGCCCGCTGTGCTGCTGCAGTGCCCTCAGTCGCTCCTGTTAAAAAAGGGGAAGGGGAGAGGACGAGTGGGGGGGGTTGTGGGTGGGGGGAAGGTCAGGGGGCGCGGGGCAGGGGAAATCGACACGAGGATAAGGGGAATGGAGGAATGGTATATGTGGCATGGGCACGGGTCACGGACACGGAGCAGGGTGCGCGTGAGGCAGACGGCGAGGGGCAGAAGGCATGGGCATGGCCGCATGGGGCAGGGCAGGGGGCATGAGTCCAGAGCTTCAGGTATTACGAACAAAGTGCAGGGGCGGGGGGACAGGTATAATTATTAAGAACTCTATTATTAAGAGCTCTAGCCCATTGTTATCTCAATATGACTTTTGAGTCGACTCAAAAGTCGACTCAATACTCATCTGAGCTTCAGGTATTACGAACGAAGTGCAGCGGCGGGGGGGAAGACAGGTATAGTAATTAAAAGCTCTGGCCCATTGTTATCTCAATACTCACCTGAGCTTCAGGTGTTAGGCAGTGCAGGGGTGGGTGAAAGAGGTATGCGTGAGCTGAGCTGCTCGATCGACCCACTCGCCCTCGCAGCTGAAGGGAAAGGAGTAGTGGTGAGGAAGGGAGAAACGGGGAAAGAGTGGGAAAAAAAAGAGGGAGGAAAGGGGGGTGAAGAAGAAGGGAAGAGGAGAGGGGGGAGGAAGAGTGCAGCAAGTGAGCTACGTGGAGTAGTATGTGAGATGAGATGTTAATCCAATGCACGCACACAATCAGACAGATGAGAGGAGATGAGAGAATTGCGCGAGGTTACAAACAGAAAATATGAATTGCACGCCTCTGCATGCCTCTGTGTCTCTCCTGGTAGATCTGGGCGAGTCCAAACAGGTGGGTATCCTCAATGACAATGGTGTTGACGGTGCGAATGTCAATCCCACTCTCTATGATGCTCGTGCACACTAGCACACCCACTTCCCTTCCCCTCCAAACCACTCTGCACCGCACTCAAAACCTCGGCAAAGCAGACCTCTGTTCCTCACCTGGTAGATCTGTGCGAGTCCAAACAGGTGGGTATCCTCAATAACAATGGTGTTGACGGTGCGAATGTCAATCCCACTCTCTATGATGCTCGTGCATACTAGCACGTCTATTTCCCCCTCTCCAAACCGCTCCATCACTGCTTCGAGATCGGTGGGACGAAGCTGAAATGAAAGAGGGGGAGGGAGAGGTTGAGGGATGGGGAGAGTAATGATGCTCGTGCACACCAGCACGTCTATTTCCCCTTCACCAAACCGCTCCATCACTGCTTCGAGATCGGTGGGACGGAGCTGAAATGGGGGAAAGCGGTTGGGAAGCGGGGAAAGAGGACGAAGGGAGGGGGAAAGGATGATGCTCGTGCACACCAGCACATCTATTTCCCCCTCCCCAAATCGCTCCATCACTGCTTCAAGGTCCGTGGGCCGCAGCTGAACGGGAGAGGAAGAAAGGGGGGGGAAACGGGCAAGGGAACAGGGAGTAAGGGAGCACGGGAACAGGGAGTAAGTTAGAAGGGATGGGGAGTGATAGTGCTCGTGCACACCAGCACGTCTATCTCTCCCTCCCCAAACCGCTCCATCACTGCTTCAAGGTCTGTGGGGCGGAGCTGCACGGGAGAGGAGGATAGCGAGCGGGAAAGGTTGGGGGATGGGGAGAATAATGATGCTCGTGCACACTATCACGCCTGCCTCCCCCTCCCCAATCCTCTCCATCACTGCTCCGAGATCCGTGGGACGGAGCTGAACAGGTAGCGAGGGGAGAAAGGAGGAGCACCGCATGACATGCGTGAATGAGGAGAGAATGAGGGTGTGTGTAAGAACAAGACTTGTCTTTCAGATGTCTTGTAACAAAGCCTCTATTACGAGCTCGGCGGGGGAAAGATGAATGGAGACCTTCTCTGCACCACGTCAGCTTACCTGGCCGTGTGCCACGTCAGCAGCTTACTTGCATGCGCCACGTCAGCTCGTATGCTTACCATGCAGTGTGCGCCACGTCAGCTTACCTTGCCATGTGCCACGTCAACGCGGGCTGAAGGGAAGAGCTCCTCCAGAAGCATCTGAATCTCCTCTATGCCTGGTATGACGTGGCACCATGGGAAATAGTGGCATCATGGGATGTGACGTGGCATCATAAGTTATGATATGGACGGGGGTTTAAAAAGGAATAATAACATGAGGGGATTGGAATTGGAGAGAAGAAATAAGGTAGAGTACGGACAGAAGGGACTATGTGACCAGATAGGAAATTATGTCAATACATAAACCAAACAGAATATAGCAAATCGATTTGCTAAACCGAGTTCAACTGCGCTCACCTTCCACCCTGGGCACCACACAGAACACCTAGCCACCCCTCTCCTGCTCCACCCTAGTCGCTCTCCTCACATCGTCAAGGCTCCATTCCCGTAAAGTGGTAAAAAAGCTGTCAACCTCGCCCCACCGCACTCAACCGCACTGGACAACACAGTGCTCACCTTCCACCCTTGGTACCACGTAGAACACCTGTCCACCCCTCTCCAGCTCGTCCCCTATGGCTCTCTTGACATTTTCAACATCAAACTCCAAGAGGTGCGTGTCGATGGGCTGTCGCTCGGGAGGTGGGGTGGTGATGCGACTGCCAAGGGGGAGAAGGGGAGGGTGAAGAGGGGAAGACGATAAGGATTGGAGCATGGGGAGAGGGGCCATGCGAGAAGCACAGGTATACGGCATGGGAGGAGGATGGGGAAGGGAGTATGGGGTTGGGGGGTCATGGGGGGTGGGTGGGGTGATGGGGAAAGAACGGAGAGTAAGGCTGCGCTTTGCATAATACATGTACCGCATTTGTGCTGCAGCACTCAACTCGTATCCCTCTCAAATCCTCACCTCGCATCTCTGAACTGTACACCTCCATGGACGTGTAAAGGGTACGGGGGATGGAGGCATGAGCAAACGCCAGAACGAGTAATACTCGACTCGTTTTCAGCCGACTCGTTTTGGAAACGAGTCGAGTCGAGTATTACTCGCCCGAGTAATTTTACCCCAAGACCAGACTCATTACTCATGAAAAAAACGGGTACTTCATTACTCAGACCGAGCGATGAAATACTAGTTCTGGTCGACTCGTTTTGAGCTAAATAGGTGTCGAAGCCGAGGAATGATTTACCCGTTTTCAAAAACGAGTAAAATGCAAGTAATCATTTACTCGCGAGTAATACTCGCCTCGACTCGTGCGATGCGAGTAATCTTCTGGAAAAGGCCGACTCGTTACTCGCCCAAAACGTGTAACAAAAACGAGTCGAGTGGATTACTTGACTTGTTGCTCATGTCATGGATGGAAGTGTGCTTGTGCAGCCCAGGCCCCAGAATGTTGCAGGCGCATACCCGTTGCATGCGAGGTGCAGTCACATGCAAAGGCTATGCACCTGCCCTTCACTCCAACCTCTCAACCTCACCTGGCGTCTCTGAATGAACCCGTGCATGGACATGTAAACCGTGCAGGGGGGTGGGAGTGTGCTTGTGCGCAGGGTGTTTCAGTTGCCTGCAACATCTCTGCACCTCACATCCCTCTCAAATTCACCTCACGCCCCTCTCAATCCTCACCTCGGGCCTCTGAACCCATGTGTGCATGGACATGTAGAGCGTGCGAGGGATGGGGAGGGTGCCTCCGCAGTGGTGTATGCACAGGGCCATATGAAATGAGGCGCGAGCATTGATGTGCCTCAAAACTTCTGCCATATCTCACCTGGCGTCTCTGAACCCGTGCATGGACATGTAGAGCGTGCGCGGGATGGGAGTAGCTGACAGCGTGAGAACGTCCACGCTTGTCTTGAGGCTGCTGATTCGCTCCTTCTGCCGCACGCCAAAGCGCTGATTTGCGGTGGCGGGGGGGGAAGAGTGGGGTGGGTGCGGGGTAGGAGAGGGCAGGGGGGAAGGGAAAAGGGGGGTGGAAGGTGGAGAGTCAACACGTCCACACTCGTCTTGAGGCTGCTGATTCGCTCCTTCTGCCGCACGCCAAAGCGCTGATGAGAGAGGGGAGACGAGGAGGGGAGTGGCGGGGTAGGAGGGGAGAGGGGAAAGGGGGTGGAAGGTTGAGAGACAACACTTTCACGCTCATCTTTGAAAGTGCTGATCCGCTCCTTCTGCCGCACGCCAAAGCGCTGATGAGGTGACAAGTGGCGGGGGAGGAGGGGTGCGGGGGAGTGAGGAAAGGGGGGAATGGAACATTGAGTGCTGGTACAGCCACACTCGTCTTGAGGCTGCTGATTCGCTCCTTCTCCCTCACGCCAAAGCGCTCATGAGCGGCCGAGATGAAACGGCGGAGGGAGAGTGGGAAGAGTGAGTGAGGTCGGGGCATGTTGAATATATATATATATTCAACATGCCTCAAATGGTATGCATTTGTTACCTGCTCCTCGTCGATGACGAGCAGTCCCAGGTTGTGGTAGACCACATGCGCCTCCAGCAGTTAACGAGGTACTGTATTGAATGTATAGATATAACACATATAAATATGTATATAGTGCATACATATGTTATACCTGTTCCTCATCTATCACAAGCAGCCCCAGGTTGTGGTAGACCACCTGCGCGCCCAGCAGCTTACAAGGCAGGTACTGCATAACATAGATATATGTCTACATAATGTACAGTAGATATTCTAATCACCTGTTTCTCATCTATGACGAGCAGTCCCAGGTTGTGGTAGACCACCTGCGCCCCTGGCAGCTAACCAGGTACATGTATACATATTTATATATGTACTTTTAATTACCTGCTCCTCATCAATGACGAGCAGCCCCAGGTTGTGGTAGACCACCTGCGCCCCCAGCAAAGAGTGTGTGCCTGCCACCACATCTAGTGTGCCGTCCCTTATCCCTGCCAGCACCTCCTTCTTCTCACTCTCCTTCTGTCATGTGTGAAGGGCCGGGATGGGGGGTCAGTGGGGGGAGAAGGGCAAAGGGGGGGTGTGAGGGGTTTGGGTGGTACACAGGGTGCGATAGAGGGCAACCCCAGCAGGGAGTGAGTGCCGTGCCGGCCACCAGGTCCAATGTGCCGTCCCTTATCCCTGCTAGCACCTCCTTCTTCTCACTCTCCTTCTGTGAATGCAGTTGACCACAACCATGAAGGGGTGGGGAACGGTAAAGAGGGTGAGTGTGTGTCCGTCAGTATGACACCACATCTAGTGTGCCGTCCCTTATCCCTGCCAGCACCTCCTTCTTCTCACTCTCTTTCTGTGATGTGTGAAGGGTGGGGATGAGGGGTCAGTGGGGGGATGAGCGCAGATTGAGGGGTTGAGATGGTATACAGGGTGCGATAGAGGGCAACCCCAGCAGGGAGTGAGTGCCTGCCACCACGTCTAGTGTGCCGTCCCTTATCCCCGCCAGTACTTCCTTCTTCTCACTCTCCTTCTGCGAAGCGTTCCAAAAGGGTAGGTAGGGGTGTGAGTGGAGTGGAACTTAGGTGGGGGGGAAAGCATTGGGCAATTCAAAAGTGGGGAATAATGACGACGATGCAAATTCCCGTTTGTATGTCACCACCACAACCGAAAATCTCCTGAACCACCTGATTAGCCACCTGATAAAGAGCCGAGCTGGAAAGCACCTGAACCCACCTGGAATCGTGAGAGAAGAGCCACGCGAACGCCCTGGTCCCTGAGGCGGGAAGCTACCAGATGACCTTGTTGTGATTCTTGCTGCCATCGTCCTCACCTGAAATCCCAAATCCACCTGAACCCACCTGGAATCGCGAAAGCAGGGCCACACGAACGCCATAGTCCTTGAGGCGCGCGGATATGACCTTGAAGTGCTGCTTGCTGTGGTGATTACTGATGGTCTCATTCTCTCCTAATGCAATTTGAATCCACCCACCCACCCACCCACCTGGAACCGCGAGAGAAGGGCCACGCGAACGCCATAGTCCTTGAGGCGCGCGGATATGACCTTGAAGTGCTGCTTCGCCAGCACTGTGGTTGGGGCTAGCACCATGGCCTGGCGGAGGGGGGAGAAGGGAGGGGAGAACAAGGGAGGAAGAAGGGAGGAAGAAGGGAGAAAAGTTGATCGTGAAATGCCTTGTTGGAACACCTGACAGTCCTTGAGACGCGCGGATATGACCTTGTAATGCTGCTTGGCCAGCACTGCGGTTGGGGCCAGCACCATGGCCTGCATGGGATGAGTGGAGGGAAGGAAAGAAGGGGGAGGGGAGGGGGAAGCTGATGGTCAAATGCCTCACATAAACGCCATAGTCCTTGAGGGGAGTGGACATGACCTTGAAGTGCTGCTTGGCCAGCACGGTGGTTGGGGCTAGTACCATGGCCTGGAGTAAAGGATGAAGGGAAAGGAGAGTGGGAGGAGCAGAGCGGTTATTAGGCTTGTGACGCCTCAGAGCATACTCGAGTCCTTGAGGCGAGCAGACATGACCTTGAAGTGCTGCTTGGCCAGCACTGTGGTTGGGGCTAGCACCATGGCCTGCATGGGGAGAGGTAAGGAAGAGACAAGAGAAGCTTCACAGCTTATTCCTGCCAGTCCCTGAGGCGCGCTGATATGACCTTGTAGTGCTGCTTAGCCAGCACTGTGGTTGGGGCATGGCCTGCATGGGGAGAGGAGAAGGGAGGAGGGGAATGAGGGCGAGGTGGGAGGAGAGAGAGGGAATAGGGAAGATGGGGAGAAACACACACGCCCACACACAGACACAGACACACACACACACACACACACACACACACACACACACACACACACATACACACATGGGAGTCTCTTCCATGGGAGTCTCCCTCTCACACATGTCCCTCTCCACGTCTAGAAACGCCTGTGGGGTTGTGAGGAAGAGGAGGGGGAAAAGGGAGAGGGGAGGGAGCGAAGACTGGATGGAAGAGGTGACGTGTGAGTCAACTCAGAGATCACCTTAAAGCCCACATCGCCACACACCAGTCAGTCCATGGGTGTCTACCTCTCACACATGTAGCACACATGCCCCTCCACGTCTAGAAACGCCTGTTGCGTGGTGGGTAGGGAGGTGGAGGAGCGGGGGAAAGAAGTCGGCACAGCTTCGCCACACACCAGGCGGTCCATGGGGGTCTCCCTCTCACACATGTCCCTCTCCACGTCTAGAAACGCCTGTGGTGTGGTGGGGAGGGAGGTGGGGGAGTGGGGGAAAGAAGTCGGCACAGCATCGCCACACACGAGGCGGTCCATCGAAGTCTCCCTCTCACACATGTCCCTCTCCACGTCTAGAAACGCCTGTGGTGTGGTCGGAAGGGAGGTGGGGGAGTGGGGGAAAGAAGTCGGCACAGCATCGCCACACACGAGGCGGTCCATCGAAGTCTCCCTCTCACACATGTCCCTCTCCACGTCTAGAAACGCCTGTGGTGTGGTCGGAAGGGAGGTGGGGGAGTGGGGGAAAGAAGTCGGCACAGCATCGCCACACACGAGGCGGTCCATCGAAGTCTCCCTCTCACACATGTCCCTCTCCACGTCTAGAAACGCCTGGTGGGGGGGAGGAAGGAAGGAAGGAGGGGTGATGGAGTAGAGGCGATGCAACAGATGAGTCACGATTCAACGGGAAGTGAGCACAGCATCGTCACACACGAGGCGGTCCATCGAAGTCTCCCTCTCACATATGTCCCTCTCCACGTCTAGAAACGCCTGTTGTGTGGTGCGTAGGGAGGTCAGCAGCACAGCTTCGCCACACACAAGGAGGTTTATCGGAGTTTCCCTCTCAGATATGTCCCTCTCACACATGACCCTCGCCACGTCTAGAAACGCTTGTGGAGGGTTGTGGGGTGAGAGGTAGGGGAGGAAAGGGGGCAGAAGGAGAGACGACAGGGGAGGTATACTCAGGCACCAATACTGTTTTCTTCACGTAATTTTAACTGAGCCAGAACCCAACCACCCACCCATTCACCCACCTGCTCCTGGTCCGGGGTTGGCTTGTAAGCAAACGACTCGCCAAACCGCTGCATTTCCGCGTCAAACTTGGGGTAAACCGGCCTTCTCTGCCTCAACCTCTTCACATAGACGTCCATCATCTCGCCCACCATGCGCTCCACTGCCTCCTTGCCCTTCGCCTGCCGCCTCTCCCACAAGCTCGTATCGTTCATCTTGCTCAAGGGAGGGGAGCGGCCCGGGGGACCGGCGCTGCGTGTGGGCAGGGAGGCGGGGGAAGGGGGGTGGGGGGAACGGGGACGGTGGGGGGCGCGTGGGGACAGGGGCGAAGCAGCGGGAGAGGGAGAGCAGGAGGAAGGGAGGCAGTGGAAAGGTGAGGGCACTGGCACAGCCTGTTGGCTTGGCTTGGCGTGACATAGACGTCCATCATCTCGCCCACCATGCGCTCCACTGCCTCCCTGCCCTTCGCCTGCCGCCTCTCCCACAAGCTCGGATCCTGCATCTTGCTCAGGGGAGGAGAGCGGCCAGGGGGACTGGCGCTGCGAGGGGGGAGGGGGGCGGGTGGGGTGGGGCCGGGGGTGAGCGGAGTGAGGGGGGTTGACTCGCCTCTCCCACGCACTCACGTCGTGCATCTTGCTCAAAGGAGCGGAGCGGCCAGCGGGACCGGCGCTGGGTGCGAGTGGGCAGGGGCGCGGGCAGGGGCGGGGGGAGGAGCGGGGGTGGAAGGGGGCGTGGGGATAGGTAGGCGTGGGGGTAGGGTCGAGGGAGCAGGAGAGGGAGCGGAAGAGTAACAAGTCCATGGTTCCGCCCCTTGTTACTCACATGCCAAATCGGTACAGCACTTGTTTCGCCTGCTTCGCACTGAGTTTCACCGACCCATCCGCGAACTGCAGCAGCAGGTACTTCACCTTCCGCTGCCACCCCTGAACCCCTCCCCCATCCCTCCCCCACACCCCGGCCCCTCCTCCCCCCATCCCCCCTGGTTACTCACATGCCAAACCGGTACAGCACTTGTTTCGCTTGTTTCGCACTGAGTTTCGCCGACCCATCCGCGAACTGCAGCAGCAGGTACTTCACCTTGCGCTGCCGTTCCTGAACACCTACCCCCCCACCCCCCACCCACCCACTCCCCCTCCCCCTACCCTCTTCCTCCCCTTATCCCAACTGGTTACTCACATGCCAAATCTGTAAAGAACTTGTTTCGCCTGCTTCGCACTGAGTTTCGCCGACCCATCTGCGAACTGCAGCAGCAGGTACTTCACCTTGCGCTGCCGCCCCGCCGGCACCTCCACCCGCGTCCCAGTGAACCTACAAATCCCCAGCTTCTTATGAACCAACACATCTCCAGGAACTAGCGTCTTCACGTCAACCCTGAATCCGTTGCTCTCGCCGCTCTCCCCACTGCCGCTGCTGCTGCTGGCTGTGGCGCTGCTGTCGCTTCTGCTGCTGCCGCCGCCGCTGCTGCTGCTACCACTGGGCGAGCCATCCCCAGACGACTCCCTCTCGTCCCCATCGCTGTCGCTCTCGTCAGCTACTCGAGACCCTGGGGCGGTTCTTACTGATCCGTTATTGACCGCTCCGTTATTAGACTCCTCGCCGCTTTTTCTCCCTGAAGCAGGACCGCTATTGCTCAGCTTCGCCACGCGGCTTCTCAGCGCCGTCCAGTCCACGTCAGCGTCTCGTCGTTTGCTCCCGATACTAGGTCTCGCGTTTCCGTTACTGCTTCCTCGTTTCTGAGCATTCCCGTCTGTCCGTCGAACTGGCTCCGTTTTAAAGTCCCCCGTTACTAGCGTCGCTGAGCGACGAGCAGCCCCGTTGAGTGACTCCTCGTTAGAGGAATAAGCTCCGTAATCAGCTTCCCCGTCTGTCTCCGGGCTGTCACCGCCGAACCGAGCGCGAACCACACAAGCCGAACCTCTTGTACCCGTTATTGACTGACTCCCTACTCGTCGTTCCCTTAACCCTGCAGAATCTAACCTAGCCGGCGTAAGTCTGCGCAATCCCTGAAATGAAGCGAGCGGCGAGCGAACATTATCTGACAATGAAAGATGCCGGAAACTAGAAGCCCTGAGGGGATAAGGTTCAGGGTTTAGCTGTCCTCTGAACTTAGATTGAACTAACAGACCATAGTTGCCCCGAAAGTTAGGGTTGAAACGGCTATTGTAACTACATGCTAGATGAAGCATCGAAAAGGGAGACATGCGATGTGATTTAGGAGCCACATACGCTAAGTGGCTCCTAACGGCTGGGTTCACTGGGTCTAGAGAACGTTGACGTGGCAGCGATTGTGGAGCTCCATGTCGACAGGGGAAGGATCGGTGCGGTGATTCCATGGGGGAAGACCACTGACATTGCACCAGCAACACACTTTCCGTGCCACGTAAGCAGCTCATTGTGAATGCGGGATCAGAATGAGAAGGTCAATTATGGCTACGAGGAGCACTGAGTGAGTGCGGTAAGTCAACTAGCAGTGACTACAACCACCAAGCGGCTTCATTATATCAGGTAAGGACCCAGACGTCAGACGTTACTGAGACACCGCTTCGAAACACTTGCATTCATCGTGGCGTCCACCGTTGCGAGTCGCGACACTGCTCTAGCTGAAAGCGCTACATTCAGAAGAAGCAGGCGTGCACGTGTAACCTAATGCAAGCCTGCAAATAGCCTCCAGGAATCCGTATCCTCCTAACGGCTGAGTTCACTTCCTGTGCACGGGAGTGAAGCCACCTTGATGCTTGAAGTCACAACACCTACTGAGTTGTTCTTCAGGAATTTGACGAGCTTTCTGTTTGATGATCAGTTCGTTTTTTGCTCGAGAGGATGATCCCGAGGTCGAAGGATGACGTACACTCGGGCCATTTTCAGGTGCGATCTCTACAGTACAGGAAATGTATTCAGGTGTGATCCCGGCGCATATTTCCAAGTCTCTGTTGCGGACTGTAGACAAGTGCCAGAATCTGCCTTGGAGAGATACGCCACTCAAATCTGTACTCGCTGAGGGAAACTAATGCGAAATAAATGCGCTCACACACTCTTCGTTTACCGACGCTACCAGGAAGTGCTAAGACATGCCCCGAAAAACAAAACTAAAAGCTTTAGTGACCCTGGACCCAATTTTGGGAGATCAACCCTAAACACGGGAACCTCCTGGTGTTTAGGGTTGATGCCTCCGTAAGGTTTTCGTGACAAAAAAATAAAACCCAATCGGAACGGAATCGAATCGGGAGGCATCAACCCTAAACACCAGATGGGTTCCCGTGTTTAGGGTTGATCCCTCCCGAAACTGCTTCCAGGTTCTCTAGGGGTTATATTATGTTTTTTTTTGGTAGCCTTAACAGCTTCGGGTAGTTTGGTCTGGCCATGTTGTATGTTTGACTTCCGTCAGAATGTGTCAGAGACGAAAAAAAATCCGTCAGCTGAACAAGATGTGAGTGGCGAGTCTGCACATGGCACTGTTGCAGCACGTGTGTACAGTGGTGTAACATATTTGGATCGCACATGAATACAATTCCTGTACTGTAGAGATCGCACCTGAAAATGGCCCCGTACACTCCGACAAGGTGCCGTACCTGTCTGACCGCCATCATCGCGGTGTCGACACGTGTTGCTGCCGGAGTGGTGTAACGTGTGCTATATATCCGTTAGGGTCAGCTTCTTTTCCCAGTTAGTCACATAAACAGAAAGTTCTCAGTAATGCATAAATAGCCGCTGTGGTGCTCCTCTCAGTAAGCCATGTTCATAAAAACTAACTAGGGTGTTGTTTCTTTAACCATATCAGATAACGCTCTCTCGTTTTTTGTTTCTCGATTCAAATACATAATGTCACACGAATTATTACCTCTCTACACTTATCATATCTTAAATAGGTTCACGAGTAAATATGGTGTATAGCAGATATAATACTCCTCTGTAGTCTCTACAAGTTGGAAGCTAATTCTGGCCGTCGGATAAGAGATGAACATTTCCGAATCTTGCGATCTAAACAGAGCGAGTCGCCAACACCCCCTCACCACAATCGAACAAAATGCCTCAGCAGAACGCTGCTGGGACCTGCGCTTGTCATCCTTGTCACAGAACTGATCCCCCACCCCGCAAAGCCGAATTTCTCCATTCATTGATGGTCCACTGCGGATAGCGATGGTTGGGGGAGCCGCATTGAATTTTGTTTGTCAACTGCCCGAAAACTGCACATATTTTGTGTTGACATGCAAGAAGTCGAGCTGTCCCTCATAAATCAATCTCGCGAAGGCCGTTCAAGCTTCGCGAGTACCAAATTACCAGCTTTCTATATTTCGTGTTTGCCGCAACCACTCATTTTATGTTTTCGCCTGCGGGAACACGAAAGCTCCCGCGTCGCGTGCGACCCATTTCCTGGGTTCCCTCCATAGCGTTGAAAGATTTCTCGTGCGAGCTTTCGCCAATCCGCTTCCTCCACTCTCCCTCCCATCCCTGAAAGACCTTCCTGTTCCTCCCTCGGTTTCTTCGAGCGCTTTTTTTCCTCCCTCCCACTCAACCCTCCAACCCTGCTGTTCTCTCCCTCCCTGATTTCGCTCGCTTGATTTGTGTTGTTTGCTAGATGTTGGTTTCGGCTTTGCCTCGCCGTCTTTTTCCCTGCAGAACCCACCGAGCAGCCCTAATACGCTGATCCACGTCCTTATTAGGACTCCACGCTGTGCCGTGTTCCTCTTATTAGGACGAGCTTGTTTGGCCGTATCTTGACATTGACTAGCTTTTTTACGTCGTAGGATCTGATTTCGTGGTCAGATTGATTAGGTTCCCGTTTTCGTTCCCTGAACTCGTTCTGGCTTCATGCTGGTTGTTTCTAGTGCGTCGATTGCGGAAGATTCAGGAGCTCGCGTTTCTTCATAATTAGATCCAGGTATGTAGCGATTTGTTCACGGCAAGGGCTCCTGGTCGTTTGTTACTCATGGGATGCCTCTATCGAAGTTATAACCATTTCCTCAGTAGTTTGTACCTGCAAGCCTTCTTCTGCGTAAGCTTATTCACGTCAGTATGGAAGAATGTAATGATTCCTCTTCCATTCCCGTCATCCGTTATCTATTTACATACCTCAAGTTCCGTCATCGGTTTCATTCGTTGAGCTTACTTCTTGTTTCTCGCGAGCAGCTTATTTTCTCACTCAATCTGAGTTTCGATACTTTTATGTAACGTTGGTTCGTTATCCGCAATCGGGCCCTGCGAATTTTAAGATTCGTTTAAGACCACAACTTACCTCGTTGGCACTTACTCTACATTTCTCACCCGGTCTTCTCGTTGCTTTTTTTTCCAAACTTCTGGTCACGACTCACGAGTCGGCATGGACCATTGTTTTGGATAACTGGAATCTGTCATAGTTCGTTTTGTAACTTGATAGGTTTATCCTTCGACGAGCCTTGAATCCTGATTCATTCACGAAAGAGTTTTGATACGTCCTGAAGCTAGATTGTTCGCGTTCTCCTTTCTTTAATTCCAACTCGATTCCTCACCTCCGCCTTTCATACTTCCGCAGGGACCTTTAATTTTTTTACTGCTATTGGGAGATGCGGGCACGAAGTCGTAGTTTTTCGCAAACGGGTTTCGAAACGAGCTAATACGCGTTATGAGATTCATTTCCTGGTCTTCTTCCGTTGACAGCGCAGGCCTCGGACGTCTAGTTACGGGAGAAGAACGGCCTCGCGAAATAGCAGTTACTCGCGACTGAGTTTTCGAAATACCTAACCACTTGATATTGTGTCTCCTTTTGCATCTGTCGCAGGTCTACCAGTGGGTGAACGGCCTCGCGAAGGAGCGGTTACTCGCGAACACCACCGACGACGAAGCTGCGTGGTGTACGAGTAGAGACGATGGATCCAAAATCAAATTGCATGGCGACGCCGACGACGGCGACGACGACGGCGACGAATACGGCGGCGACGAATACGACGTCGTCGGGTCTCGTTAAACAGCAGGACGGAAGCGCGAAGGAGATAGCGGAGAGAGTAAAAGCGAAAGAGATCGTGCAGCGCGGAAACGCGACGGCGGACGGAAACGCGACTGGGAGCAGCGCGGCGAGCGGAAACGCTGAGGCGAGCGGAAGCGCGGCGGAGGAGCGCGCGACGAAGAGAGCGCAGAGCGGGGGAGCGCGCGCGATGGGGAACTCGCAGAGTGCGTACGCGAATGCGGAAATTGGTAGCGGTGAGGGGGAGAAAGAAGCTGGGGGCGCGACGGTCAAGGAAACGGGTCCGCGCGGCGACGACGCGAAGGAGAACGTACGGGGCGCTGGTGTTAGCGTGAGCGTGGATCCAAAGAGAGACGTTAGCGGCGCGCGCGCGAGAGGCGACGCGTGCGCGAAAGGCGACGCGAGCGCGAAAGTAGAGACGCGCGCGAAAGGAGACATGAGTGCGGAAGGGGACGCGAACGCGAAAGCAGGCGCGATTGCCACGGGGAACATGAAGGGTGGGAGCGGGAAGGAGGGGAAACAAGGTGGAAACGCGAAGGCAAGCGAGC